TAGTCTATGCACAACCTCAAAACTTCCATCCTTCTTTTTCACAAACAGCACTGGAGCACCCCATGGAGAAGAACTCTGTCGAATAAATCCCTTGTCCAACAAGTCATCTAAATGAGTTTTCAGTTCCTTCATCTCAGCTGGAGCCATCCTATATGGAGCCTTCAAAATAGGTCCAGTCCCTGGAACTAAGTCAATGGTGAACTCAACATCCCTCACATGTGGCATACCTGGTATCTCATCAGGAAAGACATCTGGAAATTCCTCAACTACTGGAATACTCTCATTCTTCTTATCTTCCTTTCCCACTTCCTGAACACTACACACGTAAATAGGATAACCCTTCTTGACACAATTCCGAAATTGCAAAGCGGAAATGATTTTGATCCCTGAACTATTCCCTTCCTTCCTATAGGTCACTGTCACTTAACCCGGATCTAATAATTTCACTTTTTGAGTAGCACAATCTATGTGAGCCTTATACTTTCCCAGCCAGTCCATCCCTAAAATCACATCAAAGTCTTGCAACTCGAACTCAATCAAGTTTGAAGGAAACTCTACTCTAGCTATGGTGATAGGTACCCCTTTATATAACTTGGAACAATTCCTCACCTTCCCAAGTTGGAATGGAAACATGTAAAGACACTAACACTGAACTCTCTAACTTTAATCTCTGAACTAGAGATTGTGAAACAAAAGAATGAGACGCACCCGAATCAAACAGGACTCTAGCATTCAAAGAACAAACAAGGAAAGTGCCAATTACCACATCATTAGAAGCCTCAGCCTCACGACAATTCATCACGAACACACGACCCTTAGGAGTCATTCCTGCATCGCTACTGGTTCCATTCCTCTGAGCTGATCTATTGGTATGGGGTGGTTTAAGTGGGTTATTAGTCTCTTGGACCTTCCCCATCTTAACATCCTTCACCTTAGTGTAACACTCATACTCTCGATGCCCTAGTTTTTGAAAGTAACGACAAGTCACAAGGTTTCCCTCACAGTCCTTCCCTTGGTGGTTTTTTCTCACATCTCTTACAGAAATAACTTCTCTTGGGTCTGGTGTTATTTCCATTCCCTCGGTTATTATTTCCTTGTCCATTAGCTTCCTTCCCAAGGTTTCCTTTATTGTCCCTCCTGTTGAATTGCCCATTTCCTCCAGAACTCTCTCCACTCCTAGGTCTCTTATCAGCTCCATGTGAACCCCCATCGCTCTTCCTTTTCCCTCCAAACGAGTTCTCTAACTCTCTCCCCCGGATCCCATATAGGTGGGCAGCTCTCCCATAGACTTAATCTAATGTTTCAAAGGTTACCCCTCCCAACTTCCCCTAAAGGCTTAAGGTCAAACCTTGCTCGAACCTTTGGGCTTTCAACTCCTCCGTGGGTACTACCTCCGGTGCAAACCTCATTAACTCAATCAATTTGTTATAATATTCATTGATGGTCATATTCCCCATCCTCATGTTGGTAAACTCCATGCATTTCTTCTTCTTCAGGTAGGCGGGGTAAAACTTGTCTCTTATTGCCTTCTTCAGCTCTTTCCATCCAAAGTTAGGGGTTTCTAAAAGCCTATCCCGGTTTTAACTCCACCACAGATCAGCTTCTTCCCTTAAGTAATACACAGCATTGTTGACCTTCAACTCTTCAGGACAGTTAATGGCATCAAACAACTTGTCAAATTCCCTTATCCAATTCTCCAAACTAGCAGGATCCTCCTTTCCAAGGTAAGTGGGTGGCTTTGCAGCTGCCACCCTCTTAAAAACTTCCCCAAACTGATCTAAGTCATTGCTAAGGTTCCCTTGACTCACCAGTTGGCTCATGTTTTCAGCAATGGTGGTTAGCTTCCTAAGAGTAGCTTTCATTTTGGAACCAGTGCGTCTACTATTTCCGGCTCTCAAAGACATCCTTAACAACTTAGAATAACAAATACACATTTTATTATATAAAGAAAACTTCATGGAACTTTTTATTAATAGTTTAAACTTCATACTTAATTAGCCACATAGGCTTATTAAAACAAATAATGTATCTTGTCACTAAGAATTCATAAGGGTCACTATTTGGCTTACAAAACAAACAAAACAACTTTCCACTGATGGAAGAAGTCAATCAATTTCTATTCTGAAGTTCTACTCTTTGTCTTAGCTTACTAGATCATCTTTTCTGGCCACGTCACCCGTGTTTTCTGTGGAAAGCTGAGGGGAATCAGGATCTAAAGTTTTAGCCATGTAGGTTGGATTTTGGTTAATTTCAAGCAAAAAGGTGGGATTATACTCACTATAAATTGGGCTACGGCACGAGCCATGGCTAGAATTACAGTAACATATAGGCTAGGGTTACGGTTTAAGCTGTAGTTTGAGCTAGATACTTGGCTTCTTGGAACAGGGGGTTCGGGGGAATGAGGTGGTGATTCAAAGTCATTTAGGTGAGGGATTTCTAAGTCATCAGATGATGTATAGTCACGATGCAAATGTGGAGGTGGTAAGGGTGGCATGTCATGGTTTAGATTATTTAAGGTTTCTACTTCTTGTGGTGTAAGTCGAAGACTCTTCAGCAACTACTGGTCTCAAGGGTAGGCTCCAGTTAATCTCAGTGTAATGTAAGTCTGCCTTAAAATTGGTCAAGGTTCCTAGCCATTATCCTTCATGCATATGGTTTTCAATATTCCATAACCCATTAGGTGTAATTAAATCCTTATACTTTTTTATTAATAGTTCATATTTAGGTGTGTTTGGTAAGTGGACTAAGGCCAGTAGGATGATCCATGGTGCTTCGCTCATTAATTTCATATTCCTGTTTCTTTTGATATCAATAGCATGCCAAACAATATTTGTTATAAAGTCACGCACAGATATATCATCCAATTTACTAGCCTTTGATCAAAGAAATGTCTTCTAACAGTTTCCATCATCTGTGATAACACAAACTATTTAAGTAAACAATTCAAATTTCCTCAAGGATAAATCCAAAATAAATACCAATTGAATTGAAATTCCATAAACACACAAATAATTAGACGACCCTATTTATACTTAGACTAATGCACATAAGTTGTTTTCAAAATTAAATAATTTCAATTCATTTTGTTTTCGAAAATAATAATGTACTCGATTCATGATATTAGACGGTCGAACCCGCGTCTCCCAGGAAAGTTACCTACAGCGTCGAGGAGAGTCTTTCCTAGACAGAGAGTCATAGCCATTATAGGCCTCCGAAGAGAACTCGAGAATCCTTTTCTCAATCATCTTTCCAAATAAGAAAATATTTTTTTTTTATAGAAAAATAGTTTTTACTTTCAAAGAATGCAAAACTCTATCTATCCTACATGCCCATCCTAAGTCTACCCACAAATTTTCTCAATTTTAATCTTTCTTAGACCCGGAAATCTGATACCACTTTGTAACACCCCAAATCTCCCTTTACGTAAATGCTATATTTATATGTATACAAATACCGTAGAAAAAGACTTGGGCGCATTACCGCTACGTGAAAACGTAAGGCTTATTAAATTACTCAAATCGCAACGTAAGGCTTAATTTTAATTTTTATTTTTAATATAAAAAAATGAAAAATCATATTTAAATAAATAAAATAATTGAATTTGATACTTAAATCAAGTTATTATACAAATATATAAATATTTTAGATAATATCAAATCTAAAATTAGTTGTAAATCATAATGTATATTAGGTATTTACAACTAATTTTAGTTTTGATATTATCTAAAATATTTATATATTTGTATAATAACTTTATTTAAGTATCAAATTCAATTATTTTTTTATTTAAATATGATTTTCATTTTTTTATATTACAAAAAATCTAAAATTAAAATTAACTGCTTCTTTTTTTAGGGACTTGGGTAGTTAGGTGGGTATCAGATGATCAGTTTGTTAACTGCTTCTTCTGTATTAAATAGGCTGTTAATTTACTATCATATCAAATTGTATCATAAATAGCTCTATTATTATTTCCTCATATTCATTCATTTTAGAGAAGGAGCCTTGGCTCAGTTGGCCAAATCTCTCGAATTTCAAGTGAGAGACCTGGGTTCGATTCTCATCCAACTCACCATGGGAGGATTTCCCTTATTCCCCCCCTCTTAAGGTGAGTGTTTACCTTACCAATAAAAAAAAATTTAAAAAAAAATAAATAAATAAAAAAAAAAAAAAAATCATTCACTTTATACTAAGTATAAATTAATGGACAATTGCTAGCTTAGTGGTG